CCGACATCCTCCGCATCGAGCAGCAAATCGAGAACCTGCAAGTGTTGCACAAGGCGCAGAAGCTGGAGGCGCGCCTGGAGCAGCTGGAGTTGGAGCTGGAGCAGCTGCTGCCCATCTCGGCCGCCCTGTCGGCGCCGCGCTTCACCGTCGACCCGCGCCGCATGCACGGCCGCGCAGCCAGCCTGCCTGCCTGGTGCAGCAAGATCTCCAAGCTGCTCAAGAGCATGGCCACGCTGCTGGCTGCGCTGGGCGGACGGCCCGCGCACCTGGCCGAGCTACTTGCCGCCGACACAGGCCAGCCGCTGCCGCCGCTGACCGACGCCCCCTGGCGGCCGGGCCCGCTCTGCTTGGGCCGCTCGCATTCGCTCAGCTGGTGCCGCGAGGCCGTGGCGCGCGAGATCCTCGAGTGCGGCGTCTCGGTGCGGCACCTTCGCGCCACCTACGAGCGGCGCGCCCAGGGCTCGGCGCCGGCGCGCGGCCCGCCCCGAAAGCTCTCTCTGCCCGCCGGCGCCCCGCGCCGCGAGCCCATCCTCGAGGAGGACTACGTGGTGGCCGGTACCGGCGAGCCAAGCGCCGCCGCCGTCAACGGCCTGCCGGCCGCGGGGGAGCCCCTGGGCGTCCTGGGCCCACCCGAGGCGCCAGGACGCCAGGCGGCGCTGCCCGAGCCCGAGCAGTTGGCGCGCAGGCCGCCACCCTCCACCGAGCTGCGAGGCGTCCAGGACTATATCGACATGCGCAAGGAGCGCATCGTCTACCTTTTCCTGGAGCACTGGCGCAAGTGGACCTTCCGCGGCCCCGGGCGCCACGCCCAGGTGCGCCTGCGCAGACTGCTGCCCCGCGTGGTGGCCGCCGGCGCCGACCCCGGCCCGGAGGCAGCCGACGCCTCCCAGCCGCCGGCGGGCGATGGCCCGGACGAGCGGCTGCTGCGCCTGCTGAAGCAGCGGCAGGTGGTGGGCAAGCTGCTGGGCCACTGGCGGAGCCTGCTGCGGCAGGTGCCGGCGCGCCCGCCTCGCGGCCCGGGCCTGTCACACGGCTTATACTGGCCCGAGCACTTCTTGCCGCCCCTCGACGGCGGCGCGCCCCGGCGCTACGACAGCCTCACGCTCGACCTCTTCATGCTCGGCTACTTCCAGCTGCTCGAAATGGGCCTGAGCCGCGAGGAGCGCAAGTTTCGCCACCTGCTGTGCTACGAGATGTTCGACCGGCTGGGCAGCCACCCTTGGGAGCTCATCCGTCTCTTCCACCGCGTGGTACTCGAGGAGGTGGAGGCCGGCCGGCGCGGCTGGAGCGACGGCTTCGAGGACCTCAGGCGCCAGTTCTTCGGAGACACCCCGGAGGCTGAGACGGCCCGGGAAGAAGAGGTGGAGAAAGAGCAAAAGGAAGGGACGGATAAGGAAGAGAGGGAGCCGGCCGAAGAGGCCGCTCCAGCTCAGACGGGCGACTGGCCAGAAGGGCAGCCAGAGGCGCCGGCCCCTGAGCCGCAGCCCCCGTCCCCACCCCCGCCAGCCGCGCCTCCCCCGACGTCGGACCCTCCTAGTTCCGAAGCCCCCGCCGAAGAACCCCTGGAGCTGGTATCTGAGATGGGCGAGTTCAGCAATGAGGACATCTGCCGGTACATCGACCGCAGCTTCTCCTTCTGGAAGGAGAAGGAGGCAGAGCTTTTTGACATCTGAGCCGCAGAATTCGGAATTTACCCTCAAGCGTCTTAACCCGGGCCTGGATGCCTGTCTGATGCCCTCCAGAGGTCAGAATACGGCAGGAAGAAACCAGGACAGGACGAGTGGCCTTGGAAAAGCCAGAGTGCCCAGAACCAGGCTGCCTCTGCCTTTGAGATCCCACGGTGGCCGGTTGTGGGGTGTTGGCCAGAATGGGCAGGGCACGACACAGAGCCAACCAGGTGTCCCCCTCTGGCTCTCCAGCGATGCCTGGCTCCGTGTGGAGCCAGGTGGAAGCAGCAGCCCCTCTGAGTGCGGGACTGTGGGTCCCCCTTGGGGCAGTGTGGCTCTCTTTCTTTCTTTGGTTTTTCACTGGAGTTCATAGCTACCTCTTTGGCTGAGGTCAAGGGAGCCACATGTGCAGTGTTCGTGTGATGTGTCCAGACCCTTTCTCCTCTGTAACATGCAAGTAATAAAACACTTTGCTGTAAGCTGCCTGTGTTGGATGCCCCCACCCCCATGTCATTGCAGCCACACGATTGTAGAGCTAGCGTCTACCCGCTCTCTGAATAGGACAGGCATGGAAGAGAAGGTCCTTCACAGTGGAACCAGGGGCCGGCCTGAGCCTCTCTGAGCAGGCAGGATCTGTGGAGGCCCACGTATGAGTGTGCCCAGAGATTCTGGGCCAGGGGCCTGGAGCCATCTATCCACCCCACCCTGCCCCCTCTGCTCCTCTCCTACGCCTCCTACACTCAGCTCTGACCTCTCTGGCGCCGCCTCTGGGACACGGGGGCCTGAGTCCTCATCCATTTGCCCTATAGAAGGGCATCAAAAGAGTCTCTTCCTGCGACCCCATCTGTGTCCCGTTGTCCCTGACTCATGCAGCTCCCCTGGGTGGGGGAACACCCCCGCTGACCCCCGTGTCCCAGCCCATGCTGGCCCTGAAGCCTTGTGCTGTGTTTCAGGAGAAGGAGGAGGAGGCCTGGCTGGCCAGCATGCCCGCCTGGAGGCGGGACATCCTGCGGAAGAAGCTGGAAGAGGAGAGGTGAGCTGAGGAAGATGCGGGGCTTGGCAGGGTGTCTTGAGCGTGTCCCTGAGGTGGTGGCAGCAACTAACGCCATCTCTTTTCTTCCAGGGAGCAGAAGCGGTGAGTGTGGGGCTGGGCCCAACCTGTGTCCCCTCCCCCCACCCAGTCACAGTCCTTTGGCCCCTTCCTCCAGCCCCAATCTTGAGCACATCCCCTTGTCACTCAGCCCTGTTAGCACAGTGTCTTTGCTCCCAGTAATGCCGCCAGACCCCTCTCCCCCAGGAACTTACCCACTGCACCTCAAAGTCTTGCTCTTACGCTGTAATGACCTGTCCCCAATTACCCAGCCCCCATCTCCCGTTAACCTAGCCTTTCTGCCTTGCAGTTAACCCAACCTCAGTATCGATAACCTAGAGCATCTGTCCCTCAGATCTTTAGTTTCTGCCCTTAGTAATCTAGCCGAGTGCTGTCTGATAGATGTATAAGTTGAGCCACGGTGAAAAAATAAAAAGATGAGTGAACTTAGTCTATCTTAACCCAATAATAATAATTATGAAGATCATTGGGATGTCTTACACTTTTTTAAAACTGTCTGCGAGATGCAATGAGCATTTGCACCTACAGGGCATCTCAGTGCCAACAGTTCGTGCGCTCATCAAACAGCCACACGTACTGAGCGGCTACCTCATCACCAGTGCAGATCTAGCCGTGGTCTAATAACCTGTCCCTAATCACCCAGCCCCTGTCTCCCAATGATGTGGCCCCTCTATTCCCCAGCAGCCCAACCCCAGTCCCCAGGAACTTGGGTCCTAGCCCCTGCACCACGCCCTCCTTGCTCTCTGTCACACTGTGACCCGGCACCTCTGTTTCCAGTAACACCCCCAGCCAGCAATAACCCAGCTACAGCCTCTCGCTTTCCCAGCTCCTGTGTGTCCCCCAGTGACCCCAGTCTGCCCCCAGTCAAGCTCCTCTGTCCCCAGCAATCCCGCCCACATGCCTCCTAACCCACCCCCTGTCCCCAGTCACCTTTTACCCCTACAACCCATTGCCCTGCCCACCATTCATGAGTGCCTCTGTCTCCAGCAACCCAGCCCCTGCCCTCAGTAACCCACTCCTTGCCACCGGTGACCCCTCCCCCAAATGGGGCCTGGCCCACCCTCTCACCCTTGCCCGGGACTGTGCCCCCCACCCCATGCCCAGGAAAGAGGAGGAACGACAGAAGCAGGAGGAGATGCAGCGGGAGAAAGAGCAGTCGGAGAAGCTGCGGACGCTCGGCTACGACGAGAGCAAGCTGGCGCCCTGGCAGCGACAGATCATCCTGAAGAAGGGGGACATCGCTAAGTACTAGACGCCGCCCTCCTGCTCGCAGCCTCGCGAGCTTGGGGCCGCCCCCAGACCCCGCCCCAGCCTGCCAGGCCCGGGCCGAAGGGCTGGGAGCCGCGCCGCCCTCCCCTCCCGCGCTGGAACCCCTCCTTGACCCCTACCCCGGGCAACCCCCCTTCCCCCGTACCCGCATCCCCAGCCCCGGGCGACGCTGGAGCGCGCCCGCCGCCGCAGTCGCCCAGAAAAAGTGCCCAAGCTGTTGACGCAAAAAGACGCTGCTTATTTGCATGCCTACTTACATATATTTGCATGTTCGTTGAATGTCAAAGTGTGCAGAGCTCTCCCCAGCCCCGTGGGTGGTGACCTTGGTTTCCTGCGGGTCGCGCGCCCTGCTGCCGCCCCCTCCCCTGCACCCCGGAACCCGCGTCGCTGGCGCATCCTGGGCGGAGGCAGGCCCCGCGCTCGGGGAAGGGGTTTTCCTCTCTCCCTGACCCAGATCAGCGCCCGGCCTAGCCCCGGCCGCATTTCCCATCCACGCCGAGGGTTTCCTCTCAGTCATTTGTTTACCAGAAGCGATGAAAACTGCAAACTGCCCGTCGGGACAGCGTTGCCGCTCCCGGCGCCCCACCTCCAAGTCTGCGCGCCGTCCCCAGCCAGGCCCCACACTCCCCGGACGCTTTCACGGTCCTGGTGGAGTGAGTGGAGGGCGAGGGATCCTGAAGCTGTGTCTCCAACTGCTGCCTCCCCGGTCCCTGCCATCTCACACCCGCATTAAAGCTCTCTCAGCCGCCCGGGGCTCATGCTCACTGTAACTCGTCGTCACCGCGACTTCCTCTCCTCGGGGTAACTGGGCCACGGCGGAGCCCGAGGGGCAGGCTTGGGCTAAGGGCCACACTGGCCTCCGCCGTGGGTGGCAAGACTTCTGGCCCTTTCGACGCCCCTGGGAAAACCAAGCCTGGGCCACTTAACATCCCCAGTCCCGCGGAAACACCAAGCAGCAGCTTTTCTTCATAGATTTTTAATACTACCAAGGCCTCAGCCAAACACAGGCCGAGAAACAGCTGATGGTCGTTGGCGCTTCCTCGCCTTAACTGGAACCTTGGGGGCGCGCAGGGGTGAGGCTGGCTGGCGCTGCTACGCAGGGCCGTGCCAGGGGCTTAATAAGTGACATTAAATGTCTACACGCATAAGTAACCGTACTTAGGGCTTCTGCAAGGGCCACCAGAGCCTCGAAGTGGCGGGTGGGCCCCGGCGTCACGGGCCACGCTGCAGGCGGCTCCGCAGGTCCTCGGCGCAGCCGTCCAGCCCCATGCGCTCCAGGGCGGCGTAGACGGCGCCCAAGCCCGCGGGCTGCTGCTGGCGCCAGCGCTTGAGCATCTCGTACTGCTGGTCGCGGAAGCGCCCGACCTCCACCTCCACCGCCTCGATCTCCGCCTCGCGCAGCCCCAGCGTGCGCACGAACTCCTTCCAGCGCCGCGCGGGCACCGCGTCCATCACGTCGTAGAGCTGCGGCCCCGGCTGGAGCATGGCGGCCGCCGAGCCTGCAGGGGGCGCCGGCGAGGGCGGGGGCGGCGGGCCTGCGGCCAGAGAGAGCCAATGGGGAATGCGGGCAGGGGCCCCGCCGGGCAGGGAGGTCCGCCTGGTCAGTTAGGGGACGGGAAGTGGGCAAGTGGCCTCAGGAAAGCACAGCTTATCACCTCGGACTCAGGAGAATGGGGTCAAGGCCTCAGGCCCCTGAAATCCCTTACCAAGAGCTCTGCTGGGCAGCTGGTCCCAGGACCACGTCACCTCTGGACAGGGCGCCTCCTGGGCCTGGGGAGAGCCAGAGGTCCAGCTGCTGCCTATCAGCTGGACGGTGCAGACCTTCTCACTGCTGCTGGGTGTTACCAGAAGGGTGGGGCTGCTGTCCGGGGGTGAGAGGTGGGTGGCCTGGAAGCCAAGAGAGGCCCCAGGTCAGCCTCGCTTGCCTGACTCTGGGGTCTCTGGCCGGGGGTGGGCATCCCTGGCTCAGTCAGCAAACATCCCCCGGTGGCACCTCCCCCGGTGGCCATGCTCTCTCACTGTGACCCAGTAGACGAGCTATCCTGCCTGGAACGCCCTGCCCCTCCTGCCCTCTCCTTGTTCCGCCAATCCTGGTAGAGGCCTCACCGTGGTGACACTCTTCCTACTGAGCTGTTCGCTCCTGTTTACCTGTCTGGACCCCCGTAGCCTCAGAGCCACCCGAGGACGGGCCCTGAGCTGCTCTCACTTGCTGATAACTCAGCACATGTGTCCGTGAGGTCTACTGCGTGCCAGCTACAGGCACCGCGCTGGGATCACGAGTTATAATAAGGCCCTACCGCTCAGCTCCGGAAGGCTTGCTCACTCATCCTAGAACGCTACTGAGAATCTTACCTGCAGCGGGGTCAGGGCCTCCACCCCAGCTCCACCTGCTGAGAGACACCAAGAGAGTTTAATCGGCAACCAGGCAAGGCTCCGGAACCTGCGTCCCTCGGCACCCACTCCCAGCGCTCCCTGCCTCAGTTTTCCCCCACTGGATCAGGCTGAATGGGCTCTGGGCTACCCATCCTGACCCCAGGCCTCTAGGAACGTGGGCGCACGTGCGCTTACCAGGAACTATGGCCTTGCAAAGCTGGCAGCGGCGGTATGTGTAGGTCAGGGTGGCACCAAGCAGGAGTGGGACCACCAGGGCTGCCAGGAGCACCTGGACCCAGAACACTGAAAGAGCAGCTGGTGGGTGGCGGGTGGTAGCCATCCCCCACCCTCCCCTCGGCCCATCCCAGCTCTCCCATTGGCGTCTCCATTTCACCACCTACCCTGCCTCCAGCCACAGACAGCCACACAAGGCCCAGGACAGCCCCCAAGGGTGCTCCTGCAAGGGGAGGGGATGCGGTGGAGGGTGAGGGAGTACACACCGGGGGGAGGGGGTGGGACTGCTCAGGACCACCTGACATCTTCTCCATCCTGGAGGCCCTTCCCTGCTGAGAGCCTCACTCTACCCAAGAATGTTCCCCAAGTACTGCTGAAACGTCACTGGTGTCCATAACAGTAACAACAAACACTACTTACTGAGCTTCTTCTAGACTAGACTGAGGGTCACCAGAATGTCAACTCTGGGATTTGCCTGTTTTGTTTCCTGTTGTTGCCCCAGCACCTAGAACGGTGTCTGGAAATGATAGAAGCTCAAGAAACACTTGTGGAGCAGATGCGTGAATAAAGTTAGTCACCCCTTAATCAGAGCCCTGGGGAGAGCCACTAACACTCCCACGTTCAGATGGGGAGCCCACAGATTGGAGAGGTGAAGTAACTCGCCCAAGATCCCTCCGAGAACAAGGAGAACAAGGGGCAGATCTTGAGTCTCAGCCCGTTTTGAAACTATATTAACGCGACTCTCTCTGTAAGTGACACATCCTATCCTTAACGTAGGGCTGGAAGGATTACTAAAGCAAAGTATGACATAAAGTGAAGATATGCCCCTTTATGTATCTGACATAAGGTGAATTCAAATTTCTCTTTACCATCCAGGTTTGCCTGAGGTGGGATCCACTTACCATAGGGTCAAGCCCCCTCCTCCCTGACCCTCGATCCCCACTCTGCTCCCAGCCTCCCTCCCCCCAGCCCAGGGCAGCCAGGAAGTTACGTGGGACAGGACATGCAGCTGTTGCCATATTCATAGAAGCCGGGCAGGCAGGTCCCACAGTGAGTGTCTCCGCTGGAACCTGTGGTCCGGGAGATGGTGTGGGTCAGGACGGGAGAGAAGGAGGCAGGGGAAGGGGGTGTGGGAGTAGACGGCCCGGATCGGGGGTACCCACAGGGGGCCCGCGTGCGGCGGTGCAGGGCCTCACAGTCTGGGCACGGGTGGCAGCGAAAGGGAGAGCTGTGGGGACACTGGCTGACGACGCAGTCCATGAACCAGCCTGGCTTGCAGCCGCAGTGGGTGTCTGCCACTGCCGAGCAGTTCTTCAGGGCCACCTGGGAGGCTGGCAGGGGAGATGGGGGAGAGCAGAGGCTGTCAGAGCCAAAGAGCCCCACAGAGAGGCAGGACAGGTCCCCTGGAGAATGGAGATGAGGAGACCAGAGACAGGGCCACCCCCAAAGTGAGAGAAATGTGGAGATCACCACAGAGCAGAGGCTGGAAGGTCACCAGGATGAGAGGGCACAAAGGCATCCTGAGGCAGGATCAGGGTAGAGGGCCCCAGGGTGGGGTGTGCACAGGGCTCTCCCAGCCAAAGGCTGGGCTCGAGCCAGCCGCTTTCTTCAGAAGGACCCCGGCCAGGGCCTGTCCTCCAGAGCCGCCCTGCCCCCAAGCGCCAGGCAGCCCCGCACCTTCCTCATCACAGGCCTGGCAGCGGGCACAGCGGGTCTTGTGGTGGTTCTCCCAGGCCAGGAAGGTGCCCCGGGGGCACGGGAGACAGGTGGAGATGCCACAGGGCTTTGTGCAGGGGGCCTTCAAGTAGTGCCCTGTGGAACCCAGCCTGGGGTCAAAGAGGGCTGCCACCTTCTTATCCCGGGCTCCCTACTTCCCTCCCAGCCTCCCCTCGCCCCATCCCTGGCCTGCCTACCACCACTCCCCAGCCCTCCTGACCCCTGCCTGCCCCATCGGCCCTCACTTCCTGCCATGTCCCTCCCACTCCTTCAGCCGCTCACCTGCTGGGCAGCCCCCGCAGCAGACCAGACCACTCCTCATCTGGAAGCTGTGCACACAGTCACACCTGGGGCTGGGAGTGCTGCCCTGGCCCTGGGCACCCAGCAGCAGGAGGAGTGCCTGGGGGACAGGGGCTGCTGGCTCCCAGCCTGGCTGCCCAGGCGGGGGGCTCTCTCTACCCGGTCTCCCCAGCCTTCAGGGGCCCCAGCATTTGCCCACAGAGCAGCCCACTTCTCAGGTTCTTGCCCCAAAGGGGTGCCCATCGGTGGGGCTCTGGACTAACTTCCTTCCCCTGTGCACAGACCAGGCTTGAGAGGGGCAGAGAAGAGGGTTCCCGCCAGCCCCTCCCTCAAGACTGGGCAGCAGGCGGTCCCCACCCCCACCCACGCCCTTGCTAAGGTGGGGGGCCCTGATCTTTCTCTGCCTGGGGACCCCAGATCCCTCCCGCCCCGAGAGGGTGTTTCCTCTCGGCGGAAGGGCCCCACCCCGGCTGAACCTCTAACTTAGGTCGGAAGAGGGGCCGGCCCAGCCCCCAGCGAGGCAGGATCGGAGGCTCCTATCCCCACCCCCACCCCATCCCCGCGTCCCCTTCCTCCGCCGCCTCGGGGACTCAGGTCCCGGCCAGCCTCGAGGTCGTGCCCCCGCGACCCCACTCACCGCAGCCAGCGCCGCCGCACACGCCCCGGGCCGCGGCTCCATGGCCCTGGGCGCCACGCTGGGCCCTCGACCCGACCCGGGCTTCCCCGCTCCGCCCGCCGCAGGTGGGGCCCAGGCCGGCGCCCGCAGGCCCGCCCCGCCCACCCCGCGCCGCCCGAAGAGCCCGCCTAGGGGGAGGGGAGGGCGCAGGGCGGGGCCGCCTGTACCAGGAAGCGAGCCCCCAGGCCGAAGCCCGCACCTGAGCTCACCTGAGGCGGTTGGTGGGCAAGGTGCACACAGCACAGGGCTGCAGCCTGGTCCCACGCCTGGGTTCTAGCTTCAACCCTGAGACCACCGCTTCCTAGGGAGGCGACCTCCCCTCTCTGGGCCTCAGAGCCCGCCCTCAGCCATGAGGGGTTGGGCCAGAAGTACCCAGGTGGGAGACCCACCCTCCCCACGTACTGCGTGGCGTCCCCCCGCCCTGGAGGGGAGTCCTAGGGGGCACTTTCAGCAGAGCCTGAGACCATGGCCCACCCTGGCATAAGCTCAGAGGGGTGGCTCAGGGCAGGGCTCTCTAAGGTACCACGTGAGGGAGGGCACCTCGTGGGGGGCTCTAGTGGTGGGCCTCATGTCTGCGGCAGGGGACAGGGGTTGATCTTGGGAGTACTGGTCAGGCGATCTCCGCCCGACTAATTCACTTCTGCTCCCACAGTCTCTTCCAGCGGGGCTCCACCAGAGGGAGGGGGCGGGAGCCCAGGGAGGCGCCCAAGTGCACCTGAGTCCGGAAAGGGGGGCGTTCCAAAAGCAAAGGACTCTTGCCGGTGGAGTATATACAAGTCTTTATAAAAGAATCAAAAGCTCAATAAATATGCAACTTTACACAGAGCCCAACCCAAGGTCTGGGTGGGTGGGTGGGTAGGTAGGTGGGAGGGTGGGAGGGAGGGAGGGAGGCGAGGGCAGGGGAACCGTCCCATTTGGGGCCAGATGAGGGTGGAGGTGGGAAGGGCTGCCTGGGATCCCAGCCCTGGAGCCCAGCCCAGAGGCTTGGAGCTGGTGACTCCGGGGGTATTGGGCAAGGGACCTTGCCTAGGCTGGGGGGTGGAGGCACAGGCAGGTTAGTGACAGTGGTGGCTGTAACAGGGCCCTGCAGCCTGGGCCTCTGCTAAGCCCTCCTCCACTTCCAGCCAGTCTGGCAAAGTGCAAATTGGGCCCTGGGGGCGGTGGCAGGGGTCCTGCCCAGCACTCTGGCTGGGGCACACATAAGGCAGCAGCTGGAGCAGGGGCCGGCACACCCCAGGAGGCGTGCTGTCTGCTGTCCCTTGGTCAGTGGCACCCCTGGGAGCCTCCCTCTGCTCAGACCTCCCTGCAGTGGAGAGGAGGGGAGAGATGGTCCTTCCTTGGCTGAAGGCATTTGGAGGGGCTCCAACCACCCTCTCCTCCCGACCGGAATCCTCAGGCCTCTTCTTCACCACTGCCCACTGTTTCATCCTCACCAGGTGCTGAGGCTGGTCTCAGGCTCCCTCTCCCACACCCGTCCCCAAATGCCATCTGCTCCCCGCCATGATAGTGCCCCCAGCACACTGGGCCACCTGTCCCAGGCCAGGCCACTCACGAGGCAGTGAGGGTGGAGTTAAGCAGCAGGGTGGTCCTGATTCGGTAGAGCTGGGCCAACGTCAGCTTCCTGTGCTGGGCAGAGGTCCCTGGGGGGGGCTCAGGCTGGACCCTGGGCGAGGCCCCCGAGGACAGCTCTCTGCTCCTCCTGGTGGGTCCTTTGGGCTCCCCAGCTGGGCAGCCGGCTCCACCCTCCAGCTCTGACAGCTCGGGGCCACTGCCAGGGCCTGGTGCCCCCTGGCAATCCCAGCTGGGCCCAGCTTCCTGAGGGGAGCCCTGAGTCCTGGTGCCAGGGACGGTAGCAGCCAAGCAGAGTTCCGACAGGCTGCGGCTAGGGGCTGGGGGCGCTCCACGGGTGGTGGCCCCCGACAGCAGCTGGAGGAGACTGGCCTCAGATTTGGACTTGAGCAGGTGGGGCAGACAGGGCAGCAGCTGGACAGGAGTGCGTCGGCGGAGGCGGGGCGAGGGTGGGGGTGAAGGGGCTCGCGATGACTCTGGGGGCCGGAGTGCTGGCTCCACCGTAGGGGCCGGGGCCATAAAGTCTTGCAGGGAGGTCGGGGAGAGGGTGCCGTAGGCGGAGTCTATAGAGCAGGAGCGGCCATCCACTGGGCCCAGGGGCAGCAGCTCGCTGGTGGGCGTAACAGACGAGGCGGTGGTGCCGAGAGAGGTCTCGTCTGATTGGGAGCTGAAGGGGCCGCCCTCGAACTCGGGAGAGGACAGCATCCCCCCAGGCTCCACCACCACCATGGCCAGGGTCTCCGTGGAGCCATCCGAGACACTGTGGAGCCAAGAGGAGAGTCAGCCCAGCCAAAGGAAACCGCGATGGCCTGGTGCAGCCCATGCTGGGCACTGCAGAAGTCTACAGCCTCTGCCCTCCTGGAGCTCAAGGCTCAAGAGGTGGCAAGCAGGTGGCACCTGAGCCCACAACACAGGTATCAGTAATGGTGTCTGTCGCGACCACAGCATCTCCTGTTGGATACGGTCTAAGAATCTTGAGCTCAGCTCCAGGCAGCTACCACTAATGTATCAGATCTGGCACTCAAGTTGAAAACCGTTTGCCATCCTCCCGTGGACTCTGGTGGGAGACAGAGCCCCCGTCCCCAGCCCCACTGGGTTCACATCATAAAGCCATTCAGAGGAAAGGGGTGTGACCAGCCCTGTCCAGTGCTAATGGCCTCGGGGTCCAGAGTCCTGGCTGGAGTACCTGCCCTGCTCTGGCTTACTGGGGGGTCCTGGGCGAACGTACCAGCGCTGCGAGTCGAGGCTGCTGCTGCTTTTGCGCAGGGCGGTAGGGGAACTGGCAGCCGACGCGCTGCTCTCCCCTCCTTCCTCGTCCTCGTCCTCCTGCCCGTCCTCCTCCTCTTCGAGGCTCTGCGGGTGCTGCTGGCTGCCTGGGTGCTCCTGCACACGCAGCTGCTGAAGCTGGCTCTGCGGGGGTGGGTGCGCAGGGCCCCAGTGGGCTGTGAGCAGTGGTCCCCACCAGGCTGCCCTGCCAGCCTGCCCACTGCTCTGCTCTCACCTGGGCATCGTAGATGGCGTCCACCCAGCCACGGCACAAAGCCTGGCCGCTGGCCTGGAACGTGTAGGCCCCCACAGCACTGTGGAACTCGTTCAGGTAGATGAGAAGGAAGGACCCTGGTTAGGAAGGGCTCGCCTCAGTGCTGGCTGAGACCACGGCCCCCGCCCGTCCCAGGCCCTGCCCAGGGCCGGCGGGGCCGGGCTCCTCACCAGGGTCCCGAAGCTCCCGGCACACGATCTTTTCCACCAGCAGTGGTGGCCTGATCACCTTGGTCCTCTCTGCCTTCTTCACTGCCTTGGTCACCAAGAGCAGGTCGGTGAAGAGGAAGCAGTACACGTCCATCTGGGGGATGGGAGGCCGCGGGATCAGAAGCCAGAGGTCAGGGCCAGGGCAGGGACCCTCAGCCTGTCTGCGGCCACACCCTCTCCTGGGGGTACTGGTGTCAAACACCTACTCCCCACGAATCTGAGAGTAAACTTCAAATGAAGGGCGAGCCGATTTTCTTTCATCAAGCTATATACTTGTGATTTATGCCCGTTAAAAGTTTACATTAAAGAGGAAAAGAAAGGTGGTTTTAAAATCACGCTTTGTAGGCTCCGGGTTACACAGTGCCTGAAACATTCATAGCCCAGTAGCAAGACGCTGGGCTGTTCCTGCCCTGCTCACGGAAGGTGCCCCCTCCTTCCCACCAGGAACACATGTGGCACTGGCAAGTGGGCTAGAATGGCACCTGATGGGCTGGGACCCGGCTGCTGTATTTGTAAAGAGTAAACTGCAGCCAGATAATCTTCCCTCAGACGATCACAAAAGTCACCAGTTCTTAAATTGCCACCCAGGTGACTGGGCAGCTAAGAATCACAAGCGGTCCCAAGGAAGGAGTGTTCGAAACCCACAGGGTGAGAGGGGGTGGGGCGAGGGCCCTGGGTGTGGGGTGGAGTCACCTTGCTGTCCTTCCCCTCCTTCATCCTCAGGCTCCCTTCCAGCAGCAGCTGGCGTGTCTCCTCAGGGGAGGCGCCAGGGATGGGTGCTGTCAGGTCCAGATGTAGAAATTCCTTCAGGAGCTGGGGGTTTGGGGGGGCAGGTGCAGGAGAGGTCAGAGCCTCCTCATCTCAGCGGGGAGTCCTCCAGAGAGATTCCCAGCGTAGCCTCCCGTCTGTCTGCCAGTTTGGCCCTTCCTCGCTCCCAGCAGGGCCAGCGACCCCCGCACAGACGGAGGCGCCCACCTTGTCCACCTCGTCGTTGCTGCCCTCCACCACCTCGTAGGCGTCGATGCGGCTCACCACGGCCGCCAGCCGCTGCCTCTCCTGTCGCTGCCGCATGCACGCGTTCACGTGGTGGATGAAGCGCTCCACCGAGCCGATCTACGGGTGGGCCAGGGCAGTTCAGGTACAGGGCCGGGAGGGGCCCCAAGCCAGGGAAGGCCCCTGCCCGCCGCCCCAGTTACCATGGTGACGACGGCCTCCTTGGCGCGCGGCTCGTCGGTCTTCCTTAGCACCGACTTGAGCAGCAGCGGGTACTTGGTGAGCCGCTGGTGGGGCTTGGCCAGCATGTCGCTCAGCTTCAGCCGCTGGCACTGCTGGTGCTTCTCGGCCCACTGCGGCGGGGAGGCGGGGGCGGGGCTCATGGCAGGCCACGCCCAGCGCCAGCCCCCCCTGCACCTGCCGCCCAGGTGGGCCCACCGTCCGGTGCCCGGGCCCAGCAGCGAGCCCCACCCGCCCTCACCGTGACGTAGGCCCGGAAGAGGTCGTTTTCGCGTAGTAGGCCCCGCATGTACTCCATGCAGCCCTCCTCCTCCATGCAGTATCGGATGTAGGGCTTGAAGAGGGAGCCGAACTGGCGCAGGGCGAACAAGCACAGCACCCGTTACCGCGCACTCCCCGCGGGCTGGGCCCGGCAGGCACTCGCTCTTCCTTACTGCCTTTCGCGACCACCGCAGGGGGCAAGCTTATTATCCCTGTTTTCCACGTGAGGAAACTGAGCCTCAGCGAAAGCGATCACCCTCGGCCAGGTAGCAACGGTACACGGCCAGGTGGGGTTCACACCAGGGCAACCGATTCTGAATTTCCACGCCTCTGACCACTAAGGGTCATTCGGGCCATCGGTCAGGGGGAGGCTGGGGTGGTGGGCAGATAGCATCGACGCCCCAGCCCCGCCTCAGTGTCCCTGCCTGCGTCCGACCCGGCCCGTACCATCTTAAAGCCTTTGAGGAAATCCCCGGGCTGCAGCAGCGCCCGCGTGCGCCGCGCCTTCTCCAGCACTGGCGCCATCACGCTGCCCCACAGCCCGCGGTGCAGCCGCGCGATCTCCGGGACGTTGCTGAACAGGCGCTCCGCCTCCACCTGTGGGTGGGTGGGAGGTGCGTTAGGCCCCGCCCCTCTACCGGGCCCCGCCCCTAACCATCCCCTCCCCTCCCCTCCCACTATCCGTAGGCCCCGCTCCCACCTTTCTTCAGCACGCCCTCATCCCCACCCACTGGTTCCAGGCCCCGCCCCCTCACATATGCCGTCGTTGGCTCCGCCCCCCGGCCGCCCCACCCTTTCTGCAGCCCCAGCCCCACCCCCTGAGGCCAGGCCCCACCCCTCACCTACTCCACCAGTCAGCCCCCGTCCCTGTCTGTCCCCTCCCTTGCTCCAGCCCCTCCCCCCTCCCCGCTACTTTCTGGTACTGTCCCCCCCACCCCCAGGCCCTGTCGCACCTCACACAGCAGCCCTGACTCTTGCAGATTCAGGAGGCAGCACAGGAACAGCTGTGGGGGGCAGGGAGCACTGCAGCTGGTGGGGGGGGGTCCCAGTCCCGACGCCCCACCCAGACTCTTAGGCTCCCCTCTACCCCTTCCCCATCCTGGGAGTGCCTGAGGCAGCCTGGGACAGAGAGGGTTCACGCTTTGAGAAAAGACGTTCCCCACGGCCCACCTGGGGGTGCCCCTGCCCAGGCCCCTCCTGGAGGGAAGCTCTGGGACACTGCCCTTGCAGCCACACCTGGAACTCTCTCCTCCACCTGTGCCCTGGCTCAGTCTGGAGTTTCTGCCCGGAGGGTGCCTTCCTTGAACCCACAAGCCCAGGACAGGTGCTCCCCCAAGGTCGAAGTCGCTACACACAGCCCCCAGTGCCTACCCATTCTGCCTCCTCGTCTAGGGTGTGGGCTGCTGGGCACCTGGCACATAGCAGGTGTTTAGAAACAGCCGATGAAAGGATGAGTCAAAGGATGAGGTCTGTATGAATCAGCTCAACCTGGCAAACTCGCCCCAAGCCCCCTCGCAGGTTCCCCGGGGCCCCTGGGAATCGTCTCCACCCCAGGGTGTGGCCCTTCTCCCACTTTCCTTCCCCTCTGTTGCTTGGCACCTCCTTCTTCTGCAAAGCCCCAAACTCTGCTCAGGGGCACCCAGAGGAGGCCACGGGGGGCGGGTAGGCAGAGTGGCTCTGGGCCCACCCCATACTCACGTTGGTGATCACCCTCAGTTTCTTAATGTAGGAGGCCTCTGTGTGCAGGAGCTCCCACACCGCCTCCTGCTGGTGGCACTGCCGCCGGGTCAGCTTCTGTGGGAAGGGCAGGGTATCTCCAGGAGCCCCCACGTGTGCCGGGATGGCCGGAGCAGGGGGAGAAGGGTGAACGGCCCTGCACGCAACCTTTTTCCCAGCTGAGACACAGAGGTCCCCCAAGTTCTGGGCCAGGCACAGTTTCACCTTGCCTGAGTTCCTCCAAAGCGGGTTAACGGTGAGAGCAGCCTGGCAGGGCTGTCCCGTGGAACATCCTGTCGCCCTAGGGAGGGCCCCGTGGAGCAGGGGGATAACGTGCCCCTTTCCCTGAGGAGGGAGGGGAAGGCCTCGGGAGGCACCCACCTCGTGGCCATCGATGAGCTCTCGCCAGCTGTCCTCCAGCCGCAGGCAGGCGTCGTCCTCGTACTCCTCTTCGTCACCTTCCTCCTCCCATGAGTCATGGTCAAAGCACAGCCTCCGGGGCAGCCTGGGCAGGCCGAAGAGGCTGTAGGCGTGCAGCTTGCCCTCCAGCTGCTCCAGCTTAGCCACCTCCTGAAAGGAGGCCTGTGGTCAGGGTCAGGGGTCAAGGCCAGCCAGCTGCCCTGCCCCAGGGCCCACGGGCCCACATACCCGGCCGAAGGCGCTGGTGCTGGGGCCTGAGCTGAAGAAGCCGCTGAAGCGACTGGCCGCCCGGTTCTTCCAGCTGTCACTGCCGCCACTGCTGCTGCTGCCGCTACTGCTGCCGCTGGGCAGAGAGCAGCTGGAGGGCGCTGGGAGCTCCTGCCCAGGGATGCTCGCCTCCCCCAGGAACTCCGACATGTTCTTGCGTCGGCGGCCAGGGGCCTGGTCAGGGAGCGGGCGTCAGGGTCAGACCCCCACAGCCCCACCCCATGGTGGGTTTCCAGGACCTCGGCCAGCCTGGGAGGCAGGAGGGTCTCTGCACACCCCCGCGCCCTGGGGCACCGCCTCTCCTGAGACCTACACGTGCTCTGGGGGCCGGAAGGTCCAGACAGATGCAGCTGGATCCCCCTCCCACCTGCCGCCCCAGCCAGCAGCATGAAGCAGGTGGGGAGAACACACAGAGGCACACACACACACTCAGACGCACTCAGCAGCCCAGGTCCAAGTGGATCCCCGACACACACTCAGGAACACAACCAGTGACACACACAGTCGCGCTCCCCACGCAATGTCTGCTTAGACACACACACATACACAGATTCCTTGGGCACAAGCAGACTCTCAGAGACGAGGCCCATCACCGTGGGGTATGGTTAGATCCAGGGAGGGCCCCGTAACCTCAAAGCCAGCCCCATTTCCCAGAAGCAGAAAGTAAAGCGCCCAGAGGGAGCAGCGAGGCACCTAGGTGACCTCCCCCTGGCCCCTCGCCGTCCCCAGCCCAGACACAGCCCCTCCTCACCAGGATGTCCAGGCTCTCCCGGCGGCTCTGCGGGTCCACACGCTCCTGGGTGGGGGGCCCGGCCCCGGCTGGCCGCAGGATTGGCAGACTCAGGGACTTGGAGTCCTTCACGCCCTGCTCCACCTTCCCCTCGTCCCCTGGCTTGGCTGGGGTGGCATTAGGGACAAGTAGAGGTCCTCAACGCCCAGGCCCAGTGGAGAAGGGGGCCCCAGTACCCTCTCCCCCAAGGATCCAAACCAAAGCCTGGCTGCCCTCCCCTGAAGCCCCGCCCTGCCAACGCCTGGCACTGCCGCCCAGCAGAGACACCTGTATGGTAATGAGCTTGCTCAAGGCCATGGCCAATGGGAACCTGAGCCTGGGAAGAAGCACCCTCCCCAAGGGACCCAGTCATGCCCCAGCTACCCGGCCCATCTAGTCATCTGCTCACCTTTGACCCGCAGGTAGTGTCCCCCAAACCTGTAGGCCTCAAAGGTGAGGGACAGGGGCGTGTTGGACTGGTCCAGGTAGATATCCACTTTGCCCAGCGCAATGCCCTTCCTTTCAAATACTGGCAGCAGCACCTCCCTGCCCGGGACAGGAGGTGCGCGTGTGCTGGGGGCAGTCACGTGAACCTCCACCCTGTCCCCAGTGCCACCCCGCCCGCCCAAAGGGAAAGGGAGACACCCAGGGGATCACACACAGGTCCGTGTGCACACACACACCTGTCCACAGAGGTTCACGCTCCTGCGTGTGTCTACACACGAGACAACACGCCACTGCCCTCACACGTTCACGTCTGCACACCAGGGCAGACAGACACCGTTGCGTGTCCATCGACACCCGTTCACCCCCGCAGGACTAGGCCACGCGCGGGGGCTGGGACACAAACACGGCACCCAGGCCCTCACTGCACACGGGTGGGGTGCCCACAGGTGGGGAACATGCTTGTTCACAGGCCACCACACAGACACACACAGTCACACCTGCAGGAGGCCACACCTGCCCCCCAGCCCCATTCTCCCCACCAAGCCCTACCCCAGCGACTTCTTCTTCATGGCTGGTACGATCTCTGTCTCAATATCCACGTTCAGGTCAAATTTCAGCGTGAAACACTCCTTGCTTGGGTCCTGACAGGACAGGGGGTCTCAGTTCTGCACCCCTCGCCCCCTAGCTTCCCCACCCCAGGGTTCCGGATGGGAGCCCCAGCAGGGAAGTGAACGCAGGGATCTCCCAGCCCTCTTCCGTCCCAGGGAGGCACCCAGCATTCCTCCGTGGAGGCAGGGGCTGCCGGAGCATCCCCCACCTGGGCTAAGGTAAGCAGGGCTGGGCTACAGGGCTGGGTGGCAAGGGAGGGACACGTTCACTCCCTGGTGAGTGAACCAGGGACAAGTTCCCTCCCTGGTCCTGGAACTTAGAGCAGACGGGCCCAGCCTCGGGAACGGAGGAAAGGGCCCCGGACGGGCAGAGGCTGTGGGCGCCTGCTCTGCCAGCCTGGGGGCTCCTTACATCTGTGTGTCTCCTCCAGGCTTTCTTCTTGGAGAGCTTCAGGCCTGTGCTCTTCCGGTCCCTGCAAGGAAGCCGGTGAGGGCAGAGGTTGGAGGCGTGGGTGGGCGCTCACCAGGGTGGGATATGGGCGGGCCCCAGCTGGCTGCCCACCCCTTGCTGGCCCTAGGAGACCAGGTAACTCAGGTTCGCTCAGGCAAGCCAGGACTCACAAGGGGCTGTTCGCCCTCTGGTGGCCGACCTGGGAGTCACACCCAGCGGTACCTCGTCAGGTAGAGTCTGATCCCAGAAGCCCTGGAGGCTCACCCTCCAGGAATCCGGGCAGCAGCAGGGGCCAGGCGGGGTCTCCAGTCAGCTCTGCTGAAGCCTCTGGTCCCTGGCTCTGTGATCTGAGACCCAGCCTTGGGACCCCCCGGGTGTCTGCCGCGCCCACCAACCCCTCACCTACCCCTTGCCATCCACAGAGCTCTCTTCCTCCTCCTCTATGTCCACTGCAGGGCTGGTGCGCGGGGGGCATGACCGGGTGGACACATTCCGAGCCAGGACAGAGCCTTCGGTGTAAAGTGGGAGTGGGGTTGTGCCCGCTCCCTCCCTGGCCCCCTCCTTAGCCTTCCAACACGACCGACTCCAGAGGGACCAGGGCCTGCTACCGACCTTCGGACCCCACCCCAAACTAGCCAGGGCCCCTCAGTTCTGTGAGGGGAGGGACTCAGTCACTGCTTATCATTATCCACCCCCAGACTCAAAAAGACACAAGGGCCCTGGGATGACACCCCAGGTGATGCCCTGCCCCCAGTACAAGTCTGCCTCAGTTTACCCATCTATTAAATAGGGATAAAGAAGCCCTGCCTCTGGGATTGTTGCAGAAAGGAACCAAAGTCCATGGCTCTTTCTTGCAGGCGTCCCCTCCCCCACCACACCCAAAGTCCCAGGAGGCCCTGGCAGAGGGGACGAGTCCTTTGGTCCCTCTGACCAGCTGGGAAAGTAGACCAGAGCCACCCCAGCACAGCCAGTTGGCAGTAGGCCGGGGCCAGGTCCCTTTTCAGCAGGAGGGGTTTCTTGTTTCCTGCTGCAAGTTCCTTCCGACCTGCCCATCCCCACTCCACCCTCTGCTCACTGGCTGCCTGGCTGGAGAATCTGCCCAGAGATCCCCTGCCCTGAGGACAAGAGGGCAGGGACAGAGGCGGGGGCAGCTGTGAGAGGTGCAGACCCATCGAGAAGAACCCGGCACCTGGTGGAGACAGACCTGCCTTCGAGCTGGGCCGGTCCCCAACTTTTTCTCTTGTTAAAAAACTTGTGGAACAAAAGGGACGGCAGTGGACTTGGGTTTCATCGTTTACAGTCAACTCGTGTCCTTCTGATGGCCCTGTCGTGATGCCGACAGTTAGCAGGCCGCTGTGCCCCCAGGCAGGGAGCTCTAGGGGCTGGGCGCCCTCCCCGTGCTCACCTTGGGGGGGCAGGTCGAAGCGGACGTGCCCATCATAATGCATGGCACCATGGAACTTGCTGTCACAGGCCTCGCAGAGGCTGAGGGGGCCCTGGCGGTGCAGCTGCTGGCAGTCGGCGTGGTGGCATATCTGTGAGGGGAAGGATGGGGGGGTGGGGTGGACCCAGACCACTGCAGTACACAGGGCTCCTGGCCCCTACGGGGGCGACTCTTCAGGTCCGACCATCCACGCCCCACAGAGTGCCCATCAAACGCTTCCCGAGCGCCTACTAGGTGTCCATTCTGGGAGATGCAGAGAAAGCAAAGCCCTGCCCGCAAGGAACGCGATGCCAAAGGGGAGACTTCAAGTAGGTAACCACGAGGCGGGTGCTCCCAGGGCCTCTTCCGGAGCGCACGCAGAAAGGGCACCAAAAAGTGGAGCTGGGGCTGGCAGCTGGTTTGCCCAACTCAGTGTCTGAAACAGAATACCTCTCCCTCCTCCCTGCCCAGGGCCTCTGCCCTCGATTCTATGACCTGTGTGGCCCCCGAACAGCTGACCCCGCCTGGATTTCTAAGTTAGGGTGTGAAGGGGACTATGGAGGATTCAGGGAATGGTGTTGGCTTCTGGGTGCCTATGTGGTACCCAAGGCCCGTTGCTTAGTGACAGGATCCCAGACTTACCCAATCGCCCCAGGCTACTCTCATCCCCACCACCATGGATGACTGTCCTATCTTCTCCATCCCCCAACCCTCCCTAACTGACTCCCCACCAACCCGACTGCCTACTTTTCTAGGGAAACAGAAGCCATCAGGAGGCGGTCCATGAGCTCCTACCACCACATCCACCCCCCTGCCCCAGGCTACAGGGGCTTTGCCCTGCTCCAATCCCAGGCCAGTTTTCCACCGAAACCCCCCTCTCCAGCCTAAGAACCAGGACCCCGCTCAGCATTCATCCCTCTCACTGGATCATTCCCACGGGCAAACCAACCTGTTTCTCTCCTTCCCTTTACAGCTAAACTCACCCCTTCCTGTTCTTTCCTCCCATTACCCTCTATTTTCTTTCTCCCTGAATTTTTGTTTCAAAATATTTCAAACCTACAGAAAGTTATAAGAATAATACAATGACATCCATACACCCTTCTGGCTTCCCTAGTTGTTCACATTTGCCACACTGGCTCATGACCCCCCTTCCCCTGGGGAGGAAATCATGACACCACCTGAGAACACAGACCTGCTCATGCAAAACCACAACACAACTGTCACACTTGGGAAACCGAGCAATGATACTCAGTCCACCTAGAGTCTACCTTGGCATTTTCCCAACTGTCTAAATAATGTCCTTTATAGATTTTTTTCCCCACATGGGATCCAATCAAGGTTCACATGTACATTTGCTTTTGTCTGTTTATCCCTTTAAGAATGAATGCCCGGGGACTTCCCCGGTGGCACAGTGGATAAGACTCCACGCTCCCAATGCAGGGGGCCCGGGTTTGATTCCTGGTCAGGGAACTAGATCCCACATGCATGCCTCACCTAGGACTTCGCATGCCACAACTAAAGAGCCTGTATGCCGCAACTAAGGAGCCTGCCCGCCACAACTAAGGAGCCCACGTGCTGCAACTAAGGAGCTGGCAAGCCGCAACTAAAGAGTCCACCTGCCACAACTAAGCCCCGGTGCAAAATAAATAAACATTAAAAAAAAAAAAAAGAATGAATGCCAGGACTTCCCTGGTGGTCTAGTGGTTGAGAATCCGCCTTCCAATGCAGGGGACGCGGGTTCGATCCCTGGTCAGGGAACTAAGGTCCCACATGCTGCGGGGCAACTAAGTCGGCATGCCACAACTGAGACCCGATGAGCCAAAAATAAATAAATAAATAAATATTAAAAAAAAAAGAATGAACGCCCTAGTTTTTTTCCCCCGTCTTTCATGACACTGATATATTTGAAGCAGCCAGGCCAGCTGGCAGAAGGGTCCTCCACGTGGACTTGTCTGGAGGTCTGGGGTAGTTTCAGGCTGAGCATTTGGGCCAGGACGCCAGAGGGTGGACTGTGTCCTCCTCAGTGTGCCCTGGTGTCAGGTCACCTGGGAATCTCGCTGTACTTTGTAAAGTTGCATTCTCTCTTTGTAATGAGGAAGTCATCTTGGGGTGACACTTTGAGATACCCTGCTCCCCAGCAATCGCACACTCCAGGGCTTTAGCCCTTGTTGATGGCTTTTGCCTAAATCAATTATTACTACGATGGCTGCAATTGGAGATTTTCTAATTCTTCCATTTTCCCACAGACCCTCTCCCATCAAGCTTTGGCCCCCTCCCCAACTCACTCTTCTCAGGTCCCCAATGATGTCCACGTTTCTGAGTCCTCTCGTCTGTTCTCCCAGGACCCAGCATTTGACACAGGTGGTCTCTTGGGAACCATTTCTTCCTCGGCCCCCAGGACCCGTGCTCTGCTGGTTCCCTCCCCTCTCAGTCCGCTTGCCTGCTTCCTGCTCTCGCACCATCCGTGGACCCCTTCTCATTTTATCCACATCCACCCTCCAGTGACTCAGTCACTCTCATGGGGAGGGCTCCCACAGTGAACTCTCCAGTCGGGACCAAGCACCTCAAACTTAAAACGTCTGCACAGGAACTTCCCTAGTGGTGCAGTGGTTAAGAATCCACCTGCCAATGGAGACCCGGTCCAGGAGGATCCCACGTGCCTCGGAGCAACTAAGCCCATGCGCCACAACTACTGAGCCTGCGCTCTAGAGCCCACGAGCCACAACTACTGAGCCCGCAAGTCACAACTACTGAAGCCCACACGCCTAGAGCCCGTGCTCCGCAACAAGAGAAACCACCGCGATGAGACGCTCGCACACTGCAACAAGGAGTAGCCCCCGCTCGCGTAGAACTAGAGAAAGCCCATGCACAGCAACGAAAACCCAACCCAGACAAAAATAAATACATTTATTAAAAAAATAAAACGTCTGCATGAGCTCCTGAACTTTTTTCCACGCAGCACCGTCCATCTCAATTACTAGCAACGCCTTCCGGGGGTGGTGATGTTATGGGTTGAATTGTGTCCCTCAAAAAGACAGGTTCAGTCCTAACCCCCAGCACCACAGAACGTGACCTTATTGGAAAGATGGGCATTGCAGATGTCATTCGTTAAGTTGAGGTCATACTGGGGTATGCAATCATACAGCATAGAGTATGGAGTAACCGTATGACTACTGTCCTTAAAAGAAGAGAAGAGACACAGAGATGGGACACCCAGAGAGGAGGCCATGTGACAATGGAGGCAGCAACGAGACTGATGCATCTCCAAGCCGAGGAATACTGAGGAGCTCCTAGACGTGCCAGAAGCTGTGAGAAGCAAGGGAGGATCCTACCCTGGAGCCTTCAGCGGGAGCACGGCCTGCCCACACCTTAATTTCAGACTTCTGGCCTCAGAACTGAGAGAACAAGCTTCTGTTGCTCTAAAACCACCCTGATCTGTTACGGCAGCCCCAGGAAAAGAATACATTAGGCCAAACACCTTGGGGACACCCATGATCTTTCTGTTACTCCCCCACTCAGGCAAACACTTCTGCGGGCTCCACCCACAGATATTAAATCCGTAGCTTCAACCCGGCCACCCTCTCCAGGCTACCTCAGGCCCCGGCCCCAGCCCCCAGGGCCTCTTAGCGGGGTGACAAGGCCTCAGAGCTGGTCTCCCTGCTCCCGCCCTTGACCCCAGTCTGCTCTCCGTGAGCGGCCACAGTGGACCCAGGTCAAAGAGGAGTCACACGTACCTCCTCAAAACCCCGCAGCGGCTGCCCATCTCCTGCCGAGGCTGGTGACCTCAGGGGCCTCCGGTCCTGCTCTCCCATCCTGGCTCTGTCCACCACGCCCACCAGCCTCCCGCCTTCCGATGTGCTTCTTCAGACATGCTCCACCGCTAAGCCTGGGCTTCTGCTAATCCCCCAGCCTGAAATGCTTTTCCTCAGATGCTGAGATAACCAACCAGCCGCCTCCCTTCCTGCAGACCTTCACTCACAAGTCCTCGTCTCACCCTTCTAAGGTTTCATTCCTCTGCACTCCCGGTCACCTCCTCCACCCCGCCGCCCTTCTCTCCTGCAGGCTTCCCACTGGTGGACAGTCCGCACGCTTCACTTTGTTGCCTCCACACCGCCAGCACTACAAGGACAGCAATTTTGGCCCATCGGGCTGGCTGCCTGGTCGCCAGTCCTAGCCGCTCAATAAATACTGGTTCAATTATTAAGTAGCGTGATGGAGGATCACTGGAGATCTTGGCTGGAGAGAGTCCGATCAGAGATTTTCAAGATGACAGACAGGGTGAGAATGGGTTAGACAGCAGAGAAAGTGGCCCGAGAGAGGAGGAAAGAGGGAGCTGAAAAAGTCTGATCATTGATAACATGGTCCTCATGTGCCTGGGGCTGCACTGGGGGAATCCTCATCCCAGAAGGTGGGGGCTACGATTGTCTGTACTTTACAGATGAGGAAAGTGAGGCTCAGAGTGGTTAAGTAACTTGTCTAAGGTCACACAGCCAGTGGAGTCAGGACTTGAACCCAGGGTATGTAGCTTCAGAGCCCACATTTTCACCACATTCACACCATCTCTTGGGTAGTGGAGAAGGGAGAGAGGAGTGGGGGAGGCTGGCTTCGGGCCAGCCTGGGGGGCTAAGGAGACAAGAGGAAATCAGTTACATTGAATAGCTTTATGGTTGATGTTTTGGCTCTTGTGTCCCTTCCACTCCTCCATCACACAGAAAGGGAACACGGACACAGAAATGACAGCTGGCAGGAGGCAGACTACAGAAGCCACTTGCTC